TTTTTTTTTTTGACCCCGCCCTTCCTAAGAAAAGGTGCAAGTTCTAGACCATGTCTAGTCCCACACGTTGCCCTGGCGCTGGTCTGCCCCTGCAACCCCGTTGACCTGGGTCTGTGGCCGACGCTGTTTTCAGGTCTACCTAGGGTCGGACTTGGGCTTGGACCTGTGGTTGGACCTGTGGTTGGACCTGTGGAAGCACGGAGGCAGGACCTGGTCTCGCCCTGTACCTCCGTTGACCTGGGTCTGGGCCCACGTGTGGTGAGGGCACACAGGCCTGTTTTTTTTTTTTTTTTTTAGCACGGAACTGGTTTTTCTTAGCACGGAACTGTATGCCCGGGTGCAAGTCCCAGCCGCATCCCGCCATTGGCCTGGGTCTGGGCCCGGGCCTGTACGGCCGTTGACCTGGGTCTGGCCAGGTCGTCGTTGACTTGGGTTTGGGCAGGTCGCCGTTGACTTGGGTCTGGGCCCGGGCCTGTACCGGGAACACAGGCTAGGAGTAGGCCACGGAGACAGGCTCGGGGAAGGCCGGACAGCTATGCCAAGGCATGTAGGATGCAGCAGACAGGCAGGGATAGGATGCAACAGACAAACAGGCAGGCATGCCTAGGTGCACGCATGTAGAAGACAGGCACGGAGACAAACACGCAGACACATAGGCAGACAGACATGCAGACACGTAGGCAGACAGGCAGTGAGATAGCCAGGCAGACACACATGTATGCAGGCAGACACGCAGGGAGACAGGCAGACCGACAGGCGAAGAGATACGAAGGCAGACAGGCAGATAGGCAGGCATACACGGAAGCAGACATGCAGGCAAACACGCATGCAGACACACAAGCAATTATATCTACTCACTGCTTGGTTGATTTGTTTTTATTGAAATCAATCAAATTGATTGATCGATTGATTGATTGATTGATCGATTGATTGATTGATCGATCAATTGATTGATTGATCAATAAAATGGGCCCGGACCTGTTTTTTTTTTTTTTTTGTTTTAGCACGGAACTGTTTTTTTTTTTAGCATGGAACTGTATGCCCAGCTGCAAGTCCCAACCGCATCCCGCCATTGGCCTGGGTTTGGGCCGGGGCCTGTATGACCATTGACCTGGGTCTGGCCAGGTCGCCGTTGACTTGGGTCTGGGCCCCGGCCTGTACCGGGAACACAGGCTAGGAGTAGGCCATGGAGAAAGGCCCGGGGAAGGCCGGACAGCTATGCCGAGGCACGTAGGATGCAGGAGACAGGCAGGCATAGGATGCAGGAGACTGGCAGGCATAGGATGCAGCAGACAAACAGGCAGGCATGCCCAGGTGCAAGCATGTACTAGAAAACAGGCACGGAGGCAAACATGCAGACACATAGGCAGACAGGCAGTGAGATAGCTATGCAGACAGACATGTATGCACGCAGACAGGGCAGACATATACGAAAGCAGACATGCAGAAAAACACGCATGCAGACACACAAACAATTCTATCTACTGACTACTTGGTTGATTTGTTTTTATTGTAATCAATCAAATTGATTGATCGATTGATTGATTGATTGATCGATTGATTGATTGATTGATCGATTGATTCATTGATCGATTGATTGACTGATTGATCAATCAAATGGGCCCAGACCAGTTTTTGTTTTTTAGCACAGAACTGTTTTTTTTTTAGCACGGAACTGTATGCCCAGGTGCAAGTCCCAGCCACATCCCGCCATTGGCGTGGGTCTGGGCCCGGGCCTGTATGGCCGTTGTCCCCTGGTCTGGCCAGGTCGCCGTTGACTTGGGTCTGGGCCCGGGCCTGTACTGGGAACACAGGCTAGGAGTAGGCCAAAGAGACAGGCCCAGGGAAGGCCGGACAGCTATGTCGAGGCACACAGGATGAAGCAGACAGGCAGACATAGGATGCCGCAGACAAACAGGCAAGCATGCCCAGGTGCAAGCATGTACTTGAAGACAGGCACGGAGACAAACACGCAGACACATAGGCAGACAGACATGCAGACACATAGGCAGACAGGCAGTGAGATAGCCAGGCAGATTGACATGTATGCAGGTAGATAGGCAGGCAGACAGGCAGACAGACAGGCAGGGAGATACGAAGGCAGACAGGCAGATAGGCAGGCATACACGGAAGCAGACATGCAGGCAAACACGCATGCAGACACACAAGCAATTCTATCTAATGACTGCTTGGTTAATTTGTTTTTATCTGGGTTGTTTATCATTTCCGGCAGATTAAGTGACCGGAATATCCAGCCGCATTATCTGGCCCCCTGTTTATCCGGAATTCCGGATAAACAGGCAAATGTCTGATTTTTTTTTTTTTTTTTCCCCTAAACTCGCACTCCAACATGTTCAAATATGGGAGTTTTTTTGCGAAAATCACATTGGACTCCCATTCGACTGTCCACTGAACAGTTTGAACTTCATTCACTGTTTGTGTGGTTGTGTGTCATTCATGATTTGGCCTCCAAGGCGATGAACAAACTGGGGTGCGGTGGGTGGGCCTCGGGCGGTGGTGGGAAACACACACACACACACACACGCACACACACACACACGCACACACACACACACGCACACACACACACACACACACACAGCCATACACTCACAATCACACACACATATAATAGCTTCACCAGACCWTGGTCAATCAACACACCAGAAGCATAATCGAATCACCAATATGAACAAAGCATATCACATGATGCACGCTGTGACTATGTCAACAACGAAAGACGTATGAATGCACAGGTGGTGCATGTGTGTCTGTCTGTCTAATTTTAAAACCTCACCTGCATCTCTCTCTCTCTCTCTCTCTCTCTCTCTCTCTCTCTCTCTCTCTCTCTCTCTCTCTCTCTCTCTCTCTCTCTCTCTCTCACACACA